TCCTGAAAGCAATCTCTGTGGTTTTGATGAATTTTTGTTGCTACATTTTAGATTTTTGCTCTTGACAGCATTGACCAATGCATCTCTTGGACAAAAGGAGTTACCAGACTGACATGCCTAGGGACAGCTGGCAAAGACTGTCACAGACACTAAGACATGCAGGGTGAGATATCAGTGTCCTCTTAGGGAGCCTGTTTAAAAGCCTTTGCGTTTCAAAAATGCTTTTAGTGAGCACTGCGTAAGTGCTGATATGAATTTTGTCACTGCTACTACAAAGAGCATAGCAACAGCGTTATCAGACTGTCTCAAATGTGTAGGATCATTAGAGAGAGTTCTAGATGGGTTTAGACATTGCTGGGTTTTGTTCCTAGATTTTCTTTTTTTAATACTGGTATTTTGCACAGACTGAGGGAAAGGAACTATTCATATTCACTAAGTTAAAATGAAACACTGTTGTTTTGTTATCACAGGAAAACCTATTGTCATGTGATACTTATTAAATAGCAAACCCCACCGACTTGAGGTCGTCAGTACGAAAGCCAAAATTTGAAGAGTGTAGTTCTCTTACTGAGTTGAAGCCTTCCCTGGTATTCAGTAGAATTACACTATTAATTTGGATTTGCTTTCATTGAAATGAGAAAGGTGGTGGTAGATAATCTGTTGTGCAGCACAGGAAAGCATCTCATTGAGTGATCTTTTTCTCCTCTGAAAGTTCTTTAGTAATATGAAAACTTTGGGAATTTTATTAGAATACTCTTACTCTCAAAAGTCTGTTGTGTTTAAAAGATCTTTGTATTCAGCTCTTTATTTTTCTTGACTTTCATCCTTTCTTTCCACCAGTCTCGGGAAATGAGAGATTTGTATCTCACCCACGTAACAAACAGTTTGTCAGCTTCAACCACAATATATGTGGGTAATTTCAGCCGAAGGAGGGAAGCCTGGAAGGAATATTTGTTTATGATTTTTTTTCCCTCCTTAGCATAAACTAGGAAGAGTAATTGCATGTAGTTGTCCTCTTTTTCAGAGTCTCCTATCCACATCCCAAATCTATCTCAAATAGACCTTACTGATCATTCCTGATGGTCTGCGCTAATACAATAACTGATCCAGTAATTTACTGCGTAGAGTTCTTTAGCATGCTGCCTCAGTTCATTAATGATGAGCAATGTGAACTACAAAGCAACTTTCTGCCATACATTAACCATCATTTCAGTTGAACTCTTATACTGGTTTGGGGCAATTGATGTTTCTATTTATGAAATACAAAATAAAGGGATGATGTTCAGGAAAATCTCCTTTGCAATAGCATCTGTTTTGACCTGTGTCAGTTCTACGTGCCCTGCAGCAGCTGGGATGTAAGGTAGCAGGCACTGGTCTCAGCTACAACACAAGAGAGGCCAGAAGCCATTATGCCCTTCAGTGAAGAGGCTGTCACAGGCACAGCAGGTATGTTGTGCTCATGTCATGATGTAACCCCAGCCTGCAACTCAGTCCACACATCCCCTCACTCACTGTCTCATGGGATGGGGGAGAGGATCAGAAGGGTAAAAGTGAGAAAACTTGTGGGTTGACATAAGGGCAGTTTAATGGGAGAAACAAAAGCCGCACACGCAAGCAAAGCAAAGGAAGGAATTCATTCACCCCTTCCCATGGGCAGGCAGAAGTTACACCATTGCCAGGAAAGCAAGGCTTCAACATGCATGATGTTGACTTGGGAGGACAAATGCCATCATTCCAAATGTCCTGCCTTCCTTCTTCTCCCCCCAGCTTTTTATTCTGAGCATGATGCCATAAGGTATGGAATATCCCTTTAATCAGTTGGGGTCAGCTGTCCTAACTGCGTCCCCTCCCAACTCCTTGTGCACCCCCATCCTCCTCACTGGTCGTGCAGGGTGAAGAGCAGAAAAGGCCTTGATGCTGTGTCAGCACTACTCAGTAGTGACTAAAACATCCTTGTGTTATCAATGCTGTTTCCAGCAAAACTCCAAAACATGCCTCCATACCAACTACTGTGAAGATAATTAACTCTACCTCAGCCAAAACCATGCTGTCATGGTTGACAGTGACACTCTCCCTGTGCATGCCACTCAGCTGCTCTGGGCACACACAACACATCTGAAGAACAGTGCAGAACATTTTCCAGTGTCACTGAATTTCCTGTGCTTTCACTGCACATGAATGTGTGGTACCGAAAACTTCCATCATTCTTACATGGAGGCTGAGGCATCACAGTGTCTTGAGGAAAAGGTCTTCCCCCACAGTAGGTGATAAATTAATGCCATCGTGCTAAAAGTGTGTCACAAGAAGAGCAGGGAAATGCAGTGATATGTCTCACTTTTGGGTTTTTTAAATGTTTTCTCATTACTGGGCAGAATGGCAAAACAACATTAAATATTAATTTATCTGCTAGATCATTTCTAGTGTTTTATATATACCAGCACAGCATGAACATATGTATAAAGCTCTATATCAGCTGATTTTCAATAGTCCTCAGGATTATAAGAGTATAAATACCCAAGTTTTAGGAAAATTGCACCACTACATACGCACAAAAAATTGTATTGGGTACATCTGATACATTAGATGCATTGTATGTACTTCATCCTTGAAATAATACCATAAATAACCTGTGCAAACACTCTCCAGTTGCGTAATGCGTCCATCATTTGTGCAAATAGGAATGACATGAGTGAAGAGCTGAATTAGTGCCCTTGGACATCCTAAGTCATTTATTAGAGGACTTACTACGGTACAGAGCTTAAACCTGGTGTGAGGTCAGATTTGACCTGTAAGATGTTTCTCATTTGTTTTCCAAAAAATTCTGACAGTGCAAATGATTGAATTCTGAAAGTTAAAGTAAGAAGGAGGCTTTAATGTATTTTTAATGAGCTGAGGAGAACTCATTTCTGGCAAGGCTGATGATTTATAAGGAGAAAAAAGAAGAACTGAGTCACATGCAGTGAAAACAACCTATTGGTTTAAAGGCAGAAATGCATTAAAAATTTCAAAGGCACAGCCCTATAATAGTGTCATTTAAAGGCATTGTTTGTCCAGAAGGCAATTGTCCTCTAGTTTCTCGGCCACTACTGGTTATTACTATGCCAGTTCTTTTATATTATTGTAGCATTTGTCCAGTGAAGTGAGTTTCATACCTGAGCAGCTTTCTGTTTTTCAGTAACTGCTTGTGTGTATTAAATGGTCCCACTAGCTTTCCACTTTGGTGTTTGTTCTGCTTTAATTTTAAAAAAAATAGTGGTTTGCATTCTCAATGGCAGTAACCTCACAAAACCTTGTTAAAATTACTGTAGTTGTTATTAGGTAAGACTTGATTGATTGTCCCTTAAACTATATGTATATTTTTTAAGTTAGCTTAAATAAGATTATGATTGATACTTCCAGATTCTAGGTCTTTCCCAGTGCAAGTATTCTTGTGCTGTTTGACTCAAACTAATTAAATTAACTGTTGCAGATCTAAACAAGGGGTTAATTTGGCTTGTGCTATCTTTGTATGTTGAGAGAATGTTTAGTGTTATGATACATTTTTTATCTACATAGTCACAGCAAGCTCTAACCCAAGGCATTAAAAGGTTTGCTTTTTATCATATTATGCAATCTGGACATGTCAGAGGTGTTAGAAAAGATATTCTATAAAAATGTCGGGTCTTGTGCCTAACAGTGGCAGTAAGGCTATGAATTATTTAAATCCTGTTATCTGTACAAAGCAAAACAAAATACACATTACACATATAGATGGAAATCCCATTTAAAATTTTATTGAAAGTGCACTCCACACCTTACCTTTATTTAAAAGGCAAAAGAAAAGTCCTTGCATTTTCTTTTAAGATGTTTCATGCTTAGGTGCAAATGTTGTTTGTTCCCCTATAGAGGTGAATCCCTGCTCACCTGGAACAAAGTTTCTCCTTCTAGGAAAAGTGGATTTTGTGCAATACCCTACTTGTTATCCAGGTTTTAACATTGCCTCTTTTGGATATCAAACTAGGATTATTTTCATAGCAAAATTCTGTATGGGATGAGAGGAGGAATCTGTTTTGTGAGAGGTTCTTTACTCTGACTACATCGGAATCTCAGACCATACAGCTGGCTTACTGGCTGCACGAATACCTCCAGCACTTACACAGTGAGAAGCCAGAAGAAGTTGTGCAGCTGAGAAAGGCTTGTCACATTTGAGCCTTTCATGGGGTCGAGGGCTCATGGCCTTGAATGATTTAGTTTTCCATTGTAACATTTTGTGTTGGTTTTTTTCCCTCATGAGAAGGGAGAAAATGTGGAGAACTGAGCAGGATGTGAAAAAGGAAAATCTGTTCTTCCCATACAAGTTCTAGATTTGCCTTTTAAGATAGGTTCACTGGGCTCCTGTTCCCACCCAAAAAAATAAATGCAGTAAAAAGTGGTTTTGTTATGTTAGCTAGCTAAAACACTCTGATTTCTGCCAATGTTATAAGTCATCTATAAGGAATGTTGAGTAGGAAATTTGGATTCTGTATGAAGAATAACATGATGTGCAAAAATTGAGAACAGCTGTTAATGGGCAGGTGCCTTCACACATGCACACATAGATGTTACAGCCCCAACTGAGGCAACTCTCACTTTTTTTCACTGTTCCTTGCTGACAATCTGATTTTTACTTTCCAACAGTGGGATGGTGTAGGACCTCTCCCAGACTGTGCAGAACCACCCAAAGGAATCCAGATGCTGTGGCACCCTTCAATAGTCAAACCCTACCTCACACTTCTCTCTGAGTGCTCAAATCCAGACACGCTGGAGGGGGCAGCAGGAGCGCTGCAGAACTTGGCTGCTGGGAGTTGGAAGGTAGGAATATTAACCCAATACATGCTTCCTTTTCAACTTGGAAACAACCCTACAGATGACAGCAAATGGGTGAGGTAAATGTATCTAAATACCTCTGGTAGTGGAATAACTTTCTGTTTTCACAGAACTATCTGCGGTCAAATTTGAGATAGTATTTTAAGTCCTAGATCGTCATATCATAGCAAATGTCAGCATACAGCAGCAAAGATCACATTGGTCAAGTCAAGTATGAAAAATTGCCACTGAAAACAAATCTCGAAATGAGGAGCAGTAGTTCTTTATGAATCTGGATGACAGAGCCATGAAAAAATGAGCTAAAAATACCACCAGTGGCAATCAAATGAAACCATATTGTTTTGTCACTGCAGAAACTGGTTGACATTCTGTCTCTTAGGAGAAAACCAAAGCAAAGCAGAACAAGATATAAAGGATGTGACACAAATAATCTTACCATCTACTTTTTTAAAAAATTGGATATTATTAGAATATGTCAACAATACAATTAAAAATGGACAATGAATAAGGAAATGCTCAATCAAGGCACTCTATTCCAGCCAAGCCTACTTTTCAATTATATTTGAAGATAATTTTTCTCTCTTGCATTATTTGCTGTAAATTGAGTAAAAAACACTAAGAACTCATTTATTAGATTTTGAACATACTTCTAAATTTAGAACATATCAGTAAAATTCAAGATAACATTGAGGTTGGTTTACTTTTCAGAGCAATTCCTTTGTCACTTTCCTGATGGTGAACTGGTTTAATTGAATGAAAGCACCAACAATCTAGTCCTATGGTGTGACTATAACGCATCGATTTTAAGTTACC